CCTCCGCCGACCTGCCTGCCGCTCGGAGGCCAGCGAGGTCCTCTGTCCACAGGGCAGCAGCCTTTCGGCGTCCTCTGGCTCCGAGTTCTCCAAGGCGCCCCGTGGCGTGGCCCTCGCTCGCGCCTGATCCCAGTCGGCCAGGCCTTCCCAGCCATAGAGGAAGAACGTTCCCTCGGCCCATCCCCAGAACGTGCCCTGACAGCCGCCTTCTGCTCTCTCTGGTCCCGGCACCTTCACGCCCTCGGTTCCGGGACGCTCTCCCGCCTCCGCATCCCCAAATGCGCAGCGGAGATCAGGCGCCGATCTGGGGCACCATCCGGGCAGGCACTTCCCGGCGGCTCCGTGTCTATGGCCCGCGCCCAGCCTGGGGCCGGTTGCGCAGTGGGGGGCTCTGAGTTTGACCCCGGGGTAGACATGGGCAGGATAAGGAGAGGAGTCGCGCGGGGAGGGACTCTCAGAAGGCTAGAGCAAGAGTGGCTCTAGGAGTCCAGCCCCTTCCTTCCTTCCAGATCAGGCAACCCTGTTCAGGTCCAGGCCTGCCCCCCTGAGGACCTGGCCAAGTGTGGGACTGGCTCACTGACTCATTCACCTGCCCAGGATGCCCTTCCCCGCCCCCTCCGCCCCGTTAAGGTCCCGGCCCCTCCTTGGCCACCTTTCCCCCTCCTGTCCCTCCCCGAGGCTTCCTGCCCGGGTTCCTTCCACGCACCAGCCGGGAAGCCTCTGGGGACTGCCTTGGAGTCTTAGGGCCCGGCTGCACAGTCATAGCTGATCATCCCAGCCACCCAGCCCCTCAACGTGTCGAGTGGGTCACGGCGCAGCCCAGACTCCGACTGTTGGCCGCCAGGGGACAGCAGAGGCCGCCTTCTACAGACCTCTGGGTGGGGGTGGGGGTGTGGGGATCAAGTCGCTGCCTAATCCTGTCCAGGTCCCGCTGTGCGTGGCAGGGCAGGTTTGCAACCTTATGTGGTTTTGAAAGCAGTTTTGTTCTTTCAGATTTTTTCCAGGACTACTCTAACTTCCAGTCAATTATTACTGTTCCAAGTTGTTTGAAAGTCAGTTGCTAGAAGAAATTTAAACAGAGGTCAAGGCAGATAACTGGATGAGTCCTCTGGGTCCCTCGGTGTGCTCTTTCATGGCCCTGGCTACCAAAGCTTGGCCAGGCCCGCTAATATCTGCCTGTATACTTCCTGGTGCTAACTGTCCGACCTGCAGCTGCTGTCTTCTAGCCCAGTATCTCTAGAGCCCTGGCCTTCACCTACCTCCAACCCACGGTCCAATCTCTTTCCAGTCTTCCTAAAAGCCTCTGTTGGCCCTGCTGCTCTCACTGCACACAGGTCGTCCATACCTGGTCTCACCAGTCCTACCTCTCCCTCCTCTGCCTACTCCGGTCAGGCCTGCCCCTCCCTCAACAAAACAGCCCTGGCCTGGGGTCCTCAGCGACCCACACGTTGATGAACTCAGCTGAAGCTCCACGCTCACCTTCCCCGGCACTTGACTCCTGCCTGGTTCCCAGGAGCCCGCTTCCTCCCTGGTTTCCTCCCCCCTCCTCCGGGCTCCCTCTGCTTAGCTCCTTTTCAGATTCCACCTCATCTCTCCTACCTCCTAACAGGAGTGTTCCAGAGCTCCATCTTGCCTGCTGCCCTCCTGTCTACACTCACCACCCTCTTCTCATCCAGGCCCCTTTGCGTCCCAGACCCAAAGCTCCAGCGCTGGCCACTCCACTGAACTTGAGTCACATATCCAGCCGCCGACTTGGCATCTCCACTTTGATGTCCAGTCAGTGTTTAAAGCTTTTTTTTTTTTTTTTTTAAGATTTTATTTATTTATTTGAGGGAAAGAAAGCAAGAGTGAGAGAGAGAGCAAATATGAGCAGGAGGAGGGGCCGAGAGAGGGGCAAGCAGACCCCCCACTGAGCAGGGAGCCCAATGTGGGGCTTGATCCCAGGATCCTGGGATTGAGACTGGAGTGGAAGGCAGACGCCCAACCCACTGAGCTACCCAGGCGCCCCTGTTTAAAGCTTTTCATGGGCAAAACTGATCTCCCTCCCTCCCAAGAACTGCCTCCCTCAGGGGATGCAGTAGCAGTGTGGTCCCTAGACAGCCTCAGGATCACCCTAGACTTGTCTGACCGCCTCACTCAGCATCAGCCACAATGACTTCCCGGGTGCCCCACTCACGGGCACATTCCGCCTCAAGGCTTTGCACTGGCTGATCCCTCTGGCTGGAATGTTCCCTGCAGCCATCCACATAACTTCTTCCCTGTCCAAATCTCTGGTCAAACATCTCTTTCCCAGTGAGGCCCACCTTGGACCCACCCCCGGAACTCCTGTTGTTTGTAGCCCTTATCTTGCCATTGTTAGTCCCTATGGTACTGACCATCTTCTAACAAACCACGTCACTCACTGATTAGGTTTCACGTTTCTGGTCTGAACTCAATCTCCCAGCTAGGATGTAAGTTCAAGGAAGGCAGGGGTCTTCACGTTGTTCAGCGCTGTGTGTACCTGTGCTGGAAGAGTGCCTAGCACGTGGGAAATCTTCAGAAACTCTTGTTGAAGGGCGCCTGGGTGGCTCAGTCATTAAGCGTCTGCCTTCGGCTCAGGTCATAATCCCAGGGTCCTGGGACCGAGCCCTTCATCGGGCTCCCTGCTCAGCGGGGAGCCTGCTTCTCCCTCTCCCGCTCCCCCTGCTTGTGTTCCCTCTCTCACTGTGTCTCTCTCTGTCAAATAAATAAAATCTTTAAAAAAAAAGAAAAGAAATTCTTGTTGAATGAATGAATCCCTTTTCCATCAATAGGTGAAGGTGTGCATGCGCACATGGGTGAGGAGGGTATGGAAGGGGGAAGCAGCTGGCCAGAGGAGACCAAGGCGGGGCTTTGGCCCCTTTTCCTGGTTTATAGCATCTCATTTTGCTGTTACAAACAGTCATAAAAAAAGCAGTGAAGGGGCGCCTGGGTGGCTCAGTCGTTAAGTGTCTGCCTTTGGCTCAGGTCATGATCCCAGGGTCCTGGGATCGAGCCCCGCATCGGGCACCCTGCTCAGCGGAAAGCCTGCTTCTCCCTCTCCCACTCCCCCTACTTGTGTTCCCTCTCTCGCTGTGTATCTGTCAAATAAATAAATAAAATCTTTAAAAAAAAAAAAAAGGCAGTGAAAAGAAATATAGAAGACCTCTGTGCTGGACTTTTGGGCCGCTTTAACTTGTTAATATTCCATGCAAATTTTAAAAAAAGGAAAAAAGAAGAGAAAGAAGACCTAGGAAATTCTTCAAAATATACCAAAATGCTTAAGTATGATCAAGGGCCTGCAGACCCATCCTTATGGAGGTTGAGTGGCTGGACCTTTTTTTTTTTTTTTAGAGAGGGGGGGGGAATGGGGGCCAGAGGGGCAGATGGAGAGGGAGAGAGAGAGAATCCCAAGTAGGCTCCTTGCCCAGGGCATAGCTTAACTCGGAACTCGATCCCACGACCCTGAGATCATGACCTGAGCCGAAATCAAGTCGGACACTTAACCCACTGAGCTGCCCAGGCGCCCCTGAGCAGCTGGATCTTGACAGCCAGGGACAAGGGATATTCATTTTCAGGCAGCCATGTGGGCACTTGACTTTTAGATATAGTGTATGGCCATAGCGCCTGCCCCCTCCCCCTGGAGAAGGCTGCCCACTGGCCAGGCTGGAGGAGACTTTGCTGGGCAGGCAGAGGAGGCCTGTGGGGGGCCAGAATCCTTCCTCCACCCTAGTTCTCTGTGTGTGTGTTGGGTGGGGGGGCAGGGAGGAGAAGCAGGTGGAGCTCCAGTCTAAGCGGCCTACAGCCAGGCCTGGGGTTTTAAGGGAACCCAGGCAGCCCTGTGACTGCTCTGACCTATAGCCTTCTTTGGACAGACGGGAGTATGAGAAAAGCCCCCCAGGGTCCGTCAGCAGGATGGACCCCATCCTTCCTTGCCTCGCACTCTGCAGGAGCCCGAGGTTCCATGCAGGGCTATGACCTAATCCGATGAGGAGGAAGCCAGGGACCCCCAGAGGGCAGCCCGTACGCCAGGACACTCAGGGCTGCAGCCCCCTCTAGGCCGGTGTCCAGCTCTTTTCTGGGGCTGCAGGGCTCCCGGGGAAGTCCCCAGGCTGGAGTCCAGCACCTGGGGCTAAAGGGAACTAGATCCGGGAAGCCCTGCTCTGGTCAGCGGGCACCGTCATGGGCCTAGCAGCCACCAGCTTGAGGAAATTCTTTCTTCAGGGGTTTCCCAAGCTGGCAGCTGCCTTGCCAGTTCAAACCGGATTTTTCCTGCTGCCCTTTCCCCAGCGGCCTAGCCGGGTGCAGGGTCTCTCCTAATGAGGGTTTGGTGCCAAGGCCTGGGCAGCTCCATCTTGCTGGGTACCAGCTGGTTTAGGCCTGCCCCAGGCAATGGGCAGCTTCCCGGTCCCATCGGGGGCCAAGGCCACCTGGGGCTACCCTGCATCCTTAGACTAGCCCTGCCCTGCTTTGGACCCCCTACTCAAAACCCAGGGTCCCCAGTACAGGAATTCACTAACCCACCTTTATTCACAGTGGGTTTTACTATTAACAGAAGATCAGTCTGACAGGTCACAGGATTCCTGGACTTTTGTTCCCAGACTCAAAGCATTGACAAAGGGTTGACACGGCAGCCAGGGGGGGCAGGGGGCCCTTCAACAGTGCTTCCACAGGGCTCGGCTGCCCCCAGCTCAGACCCTCCCTGAAGCTGCTGGGGATGCACCTCACGTTGCCTCCTTCCGGAGGCCTCTCTCTGTCCCATTTCCTGGGGCCTCATTAATTCCTCCCCACCTCACCCCGTGAGAAAGCAGGTCTGTGCTGAGCCTGGCCCAGATCCAGAGCTGAGTCTGAGCATACCACTGGCTGGTTTGGGAGGAAGGGGGCCTGTCCCCACCCTCATCTCAGGGAAGGAGGCCGGAGGGGCTCCCATTACCATCCATGTCCCGACGTCTACCCACTTTCCAGGAGCACAGGGGCCATGGGGATCAAGAATACACAACATAGCTGGTCTTATGTATAATATTTATAAAAGGGGACCCACCACCTCTCCACTCCTGCCCCAGACCAGCCCCTGGGGTCTTTGGCTCCCAGGGGACAGAGACACTCCGGGCCCCAGACTCTTTCTTCTCCCAGAAGTGGAATGTGAGCTATGGCCCAGGCTTGGGGTGGGGGGAGTCCCAGCCTCCCCAGGACTGGTGAAGGGACAGGGTAGGGGTCCCTTGGGGGTGCCCACACCAGCCTCACACTCAAAAGAACCTACTGGCTCCAGGTGTGAGGGGGAATGGTCTGCTTCTGGTGACGGGGATGGGAGAAGGAGACAAGAGTATCTAAGGGCCTGAGTCCAAGTGCCTGAAAGGGGCCTCAGGGACAGAAGTGGGAAGAGGTGAGTGAGCTGAGGGAGATGAGGCCCCAGGGTGCAGACCACGGCCCAGCAGCACGGTGGGGAGATGGCTGCAGGCCTGGTTTCCAGCTCTACGTGCCCTACAGGCTGTGTGACCTCGGGAGGCAGCTGCGGGGCCTCGTGTGCGCATCTGTGCAAAGGAGAACAGAGGCTTGGGTGGGAGCTGAGGCAAGAGTGAGGGAGCAAGGGTACAGCCCCACCCTGCTCTCAGCCCAGGCAGCCCCTGGAGCCCGGGAGCCCAGAAAGGGAGTGGCCCTAGGGCCTTGGTCCTGGCTCTGACAGAAACCTTCCACAGAGAGGATGTGAGGCAGAGCCAAATGCCATAGTGTTAACACGTCTTTCTCCTCCCCCTTGGCTAGATGGGAGCAAGGGCTGAAGACTCTGGGCAGGGGTTCGTGGACGAGTAGTCAGAACAGGATGGATGTCTCCTCCTAGTGGCTTCCTCCATGCCGGCTGGTCCCTGACACCCAGTCAGTGATGATGAAGCTCAAGCTCATGGTCATCAGCAAGAGGCCAAGCACAGCGAAACAAAGGGCCTGTGGGGACAGGAGTCAGAGTCAGGGGTGCAGTAAGGGCAGCCCCCTCAGCCCCACACCAGGCCACCAACCTCCAGGACCCTCGCACCAGGATTTTGGGGGTAGACTTTGCAGGCTCCCTCTCGGTGGGTATGATGCGGAAGTAGAAGATGGCAGGGAAGATGAAGATGAGGCATGGGGCAGATGTGGCACCTGCAAAGAACAAGGCATGTCCGCATACTGGTTAAGGTCCGGGGGTGGACCCCTCAATGAGATCAAACATTCCTTGTTGGCGGAATGTCTTCCTTGAGACTCCACTTGAGAGTTCTGCCTGATTCTGGAGAGCCCACCAGCCCCTCCCCTGGTTCTCTGTCTACCTGGATGGAAAGCTAGTGCTGTTGGCAGTCAAAGAATCTCTAGCAAAGAGAAAAGGCAAGCCAAGAGACAGACACAAAGCCCTGAAGATATTGGGCTCCTAGATATAGCTATTCCTGAAGGCTTTTTCTTTATTTGAGCCAATTCATTCCTTTCTGCTTAAATCACTTTTAGGTCAGATTTCAGATATATAGAACCAACAGTCTTGCCTATGATATCCATGACACTCGGCCCCCCAGGCCTGTGCGTTGGTCCTTGCAGACTTGGGTTAGGGAGTGAGTCTTCTGAGTTGGGTCACCCCAAAGATATCTCAGAATTGTCTGATCTTCTAGCTCAGAGCCCCAGCTGGGATGGGACAGTGGACAGAGTACCAAACCTATAGTCCCATTATCCTAGAGCTAAATTAAGGCCCCCCACTTACCAGCTGTATGGCTCTGCTACTCCCCTAATCATGATGGACCTTAATTTTCTCATATGTGAAATGGGGACAAGACCCAGTGAGATCATTCATGGAGGTCCCTGGCACCTGGGCTCCACCTCATCCCCCAGCAAGGGGAACTGTCTCTGGTTTTGAGCCCTCAAAAGGGATTAGAATAGCCTTAAGGACAAAATCTCAGAGAGGAAGCCCAGCTGTGCACACATGGCCAGTAGCCATCACTTAAATGTAGGGTACGATCTCAGGAATCTGCCAGGATTTGCAGATAGGAAATTCTCTGGGCCAATGCCCTGCCTCTATACACAGCTGGGCCAGACCCTCACCGATGACCCCGAAGATGCCCAGGATGTTGGGAGCGAAGATAACCAGCAGGTTGATGCAAGTGAGCAGGCCGATGGCAATGAGCGTGTGCCGCAACCAGCTGAACTCCTGGTTCTTAAACAGCATCTGCTGGATGGCACGGCGCACCTGGGGGGCGGGGGTGGGAAGAGTCACCAATCTGTCAGCCCCCTCCATCCCACCCTGCCTTGGTCCACCTACCCGCCAGCTCACCGGAAACAGAACGATTGGCACCGTGAGTGTGACTGCCGTCAGCACGGCCACTCGCACGCAGAGGATCAGCACGTCGAATGGGTCCACCTTGCTGTAGGTGTGCAGTAGCTCAGACTCCACCCCGTCTGCGGCAGGCAGGGAGGGCGGTCAGCGCGTGGCCCGGGGAGGGGGGTGGGCTCTGAGCCTGGGTTGGCCCTGACACTGTGCGAAGTGGCACCAGACTCACCTCCACAGCCGCAGGGCACAGTTAGGCGTCGCACACCTACTTAGCGCCTACAGTATGCAGGGTGCCATGGCCACCGGCCAGCCCCGTGCCCCCCAGCCTGGCCTCTGCCTCTGCCCCCATGGTCCAGCCATACCGTAGAAGGTGAGGTAGCCGAAGAGGGCAGCCAGGAAGTACATGACATACATGACGGAGATGGACAGGTTGGAGATGTGCTGCATCTTCCTCTTGGAGGGACTACGGCGAAGCAGGGGAGGGGACTGGTGCCAAGCTGGGCCACACCAGAGACCCCCCTGTGCCCTGGGGTCTCTCCGGCACCACGCCCTCACCATCTGGCAGCTGAACACGTCTCCTTCTTGTCCCCAGTCGCCCCTCAGGGCAGCCACGGAGAGCTTTGATAAAGTGACTTAGCTCCCGTTCCTCCCCACCCCCAGCCCCGGTCCTGTCAGGACCACATTCATTCTCCCCAAACCAGCTTAAGGCGGCTGCCCCCCTCTCAACCACAGACACCTACTCCTTGAGCTCTGTATAGATGGGCAGCACCTCGGGATGGCAGACGAAGGCGAAGGCCATGATGGGGATGGTATATGCCGTCTGGGGAGACACGGGGACCACGTCAGGGCAGCCCCCCCCACTCTCACGGGGCCCACCGCCCCCACCCTGGCCTGTTGGGACCTGTGAGTTGAGTGTGAAGTAGCTCGGGGTGCAGAGGGCTGTGGTCTCTGTCTCAACCCGCAGCTGTGCCTCCTCCTTGGTGACCTCCACGAGGCTGAAGTTGCCCGTGATGTTGGCGAAGTTGACGGGCAGTGGGCAGGGCACGTGGAACTTTTTGTAGATGACCTGGGTTAGGGAAAGGATGAGATCAGGGCCAGGCTAGATCTGCCCGGGAGTCACTATGACGCCACACCTAGATCAGTACGGAAGGGGCTGCCTTCTGACCCAGGCTTCCCAGAAAGGCCTGACCCCTCCCCCTGACGGAGGAGCCTGCCCCCCACCCCCTCCCCGGGAGACCTGCCCTCCACGCCAGCACGGAGGGTAACTCACTGCGATTAGGAAGAACACCATGCAGCTGAGAGAGAAGCCGCTGGAGTAACCCAGGTAGCCTGCAAAGTGCGGAGGGGCTCTGAGACTGGGGTCCCCTCCCAGGCATCCCTCCAACATCCCCCCTCCAAGGCCCTGGCCTTGCCACACTCACCAAGCTGCCGCATCAGTGCCAGAGGCAGAATGACGGTGACAGAAACTAGGATCACCAGGTAGTTCCCGTTCATGTACCAGTCCCTGCAGGGACAGGAGTGGGGAGCCAACATCAGTCTCCTCAGCCTTAGGGTGGGGGGCGTCTGCCTCCATACCTAATCGGTGCACCCGGGGTGCTACTGAGTGACCTCTGGAAAATACTTGTTCAGAGCACTGAGTCTCCCTTGCCCCATCTGCAAAAGGGACGTTCTCTCAGCACTCTCCTGGGCGAGGTGCGGACTAAGGCACCGGGCTCCTGCTTGGTGACCATTATAGGTATAGTCACTGCTCTTGTTTTTCTCAGGACACACAGGTCTGGGTCCAGCTTCCCCAGGGAGGGGCCCCCAGGGGCCCAGGGAGGCAGGGGGATGAACAAACCTGGCTCTGGGGGGTGGGACATTTTCTATGGGGGGATCAGGGACTTGCCAACGTCTGGTGCCCCTTGTGGTCCCTCCTGACATCTGTATCCTGCATCATCCTGCACCCCGCCACCACCAAGGGACAGGGGGCACGGAGAACTAAAGGGATAAGGAATGAGACCCCCCTTCCCAGGGAAGCCTAAAGGCCAACTCCTTGGGAAAGGCCCCCAGGACCTGGTGGGGGGTCGGGGAAAGAATCCTGATGCTTCTCTCCTCCCAGAGCTGCTCTCAACTTCACACCTCTCTGCTTGCCTGGGCTGTGTGGCCAAGGGCAGGGCCTGGCTGTCATCTCTGTCTCCACCCACAAAACGTGGCTGATGTCATTAGTGCTGGCTAAACTGATGATGGGCAACTGGGACACCATGGGCTTAATTTCTTGGTTGGGGGCGGCTAACACCCAAGCCATGGTCAGGAATAGCAGGGGCTTAGAGCTAAGCCCAAGGCTCTCAGGCCCTCGCGTGCTCACAGGCTGGGTCCAGGCCCAGGTGGGGGCCCAGCTTCCTCGGCCTCACCGCACCCCTTACCCCCACTGGCCTTCCTGGGGGATTCCCCTAGGTGCTCCCTAAATGAGTGTCGACTGAATGTTAGCTCGGCTAGCAGCTCTCTGCCCCTCCAGCTGCCGCTTGCAAGCACTGTCTCGTCTCTCCCACTAGCCCAGCCTGGGTTCCCGGGGCCAGCAGGGCACACGGAGGGGTAGACGAAGACCTCCCACCCTCACCCAGCCCCGCCCCACCCTGGGGCTCACGAGGTTTGCTCCTCCAGGTTCAGGAAGGTCTGTATGACAAGGGGCAGCTCAGACTTGATGATGTACAGGTAGCTGGACATGGCTGGGGGGAGACGGGTAGGCAGGCACTGGGGTCAGCCGAGGCAGCCAGCCCTCGGACTGCCCACCAGCCCACTGCCTGCCCGTGTCTGCCTGCCTCACCTCCAATATTCTGCAGCGTGATGGCCAGGGCCGCTGCCAGCTTCCCTGGGGTCCCAAAGGCACGGTAGCCCAGCTGCTCGTAGGCACGGATGCCTGTGGGCACGAGGAGTCAGAACAGTCAGGGGTGCTTTCCCTGGTCCAGCCCTCCCTTGCTCCAGGTTGGGTTGAAGGCTCACCCACGATCCCTGAGGACTTGAGTAGCAGGTGGATGGAGTAGCTGGAGAGCAGGGCAACGGCCGTCAGCAGGAACCTGAGGAAGATGGATGAAAGGAAGCCATCTGGGACTTCCCTGGGTGGCAGGGGCGAGGAGCTCTGGGAGGCCTGGGTGTGTGGGTCTGTGACCCAGGTGTCTGGACCCCCAACAGGTGTGGATGCAAGTTCAACAGGCCCTAGCAGTGGTGAACACCACCCATTTAACCCAGGGTGAGCCGCAACCCAGAAGGGGCCTCTGAGCACCACCTCCTTGCGCTCTTGGAACAAACACGTTTTCCATTTGGGCAGCAGGGCAGAGTTCCCAGGTAAAGTACACGTGTGCCCGCACAAGGCCTGGCTGCGGGGGCTTGCTCATCACGTGTAAAGGTGGTAGAAGGATAGACTCGGGTCTGTTAGGCTTGTCCTGTGTTGTAATCTCACCGGCTTTGCTGGGAAATGAGGGCTGTTTGTCCAGCCATGGCGGGTTTTTTTTAGCTGTGGTTTGGGTTAAGCCCCCCCACTGCAGCCTGGGTCTTGGGATGGGAAACCGGCGGGTCCTGGGAGGTCATGGCTGGTGGCCTGTTTAGGGCTCCTGTCTCGGGAGGGTTCACTGAGAGGACTTACAGGAAAAGGATGATGCCCGTGTTGGCCATGGCGTAGGCGAGGCCCAGGATGCCGCTGCCCATGATGGCGTTGCTGAGGTTGAACACTGACATCCCAAATGAGGTCTTCCCCTCGAACTGCAAGCACCAGAGTGAGATGGGAGTTGGGGGGGGTCAGCAAAGCATGGAGGGCCTCCCAGCGTTCCCCCTCACTGTCCCTTAGCCTCCCATTGCTGCCCCAGAGCACTTCGTTACTGCACACAAGCTCCCAGCGGTGTCCCGAACCCCCAGTGCACCCCGGCTCACGTCAGTGAAGTGCGGCTCCTTGCTGGGGTTTTTCTGTAGGAAGCCCTTGCCCTCAACACAGCTCCGTCTGGGGCCCTCGACCCTGCAGGCACAGGCCAGAGCAGGCAGCTCACCTCCAGCCCTTGCTCGGCACCCTGCCCTGCCCTGAGCCGTGGCTGGGCCTCTCCTCTGCTCACCTCGGGTTGCCGGCCGTGGGGGTGGTGACTGGGAGCAGCCCCTCCGAGTGTTTGCCGTTGGGCACCAGCTCCACCATTTCTGTCTGCAGAGGTGCCTCCATGGTCAGGGGCCACCAGCAGGATCACTAGCTCTCACACCAACACAGAAGTCTGCAGAGCAATGGGTCCCTCTGGTTATCCCCGCTCCCGGCACCCATGGCCCAGCCTCCCACCGGAAGTCTATAGCCGTATCACACCTCCCAGAAGGTCACTCAGGACTTACGTGCATATGCGGCTGGGCCTGCTGCCTCCCTGGGCCCTGCTTTTGGGGGAGTAGAGCTCAGATACCTGAGTTCTCCGGGATATCCTGAGGGGACACCTTGGCCAGTACATAGCGCTCCCTGCCTCCCCCCCCCCACCCACATATCAGCCCAGGCAAGCCCGTGGGGGCCTCAGTTTCTCCATCTGTGCAGTGAGGATCAGCTGGATGACCTGAGTTCAGAGTCCAGTGGTGCCTGGAGCCTAGGATGCTGAGTCCCAGGCATCCAGACTCCACTCCGGGGGTGGGCCCCGGACCGACCCCCCCTCCCTGACATTAATACCGGGAGACGGTTTCCTGTGCCGGCCCTGTGTGCCAGGGGCCTCCTAGCCAACCTAGAATGGCACTGCCCGACGGCTGGAGGCCTCGGGAGAGGGTGAGGGCTGTGGGCCCTGTTCCCAGCCGCCCGGCGGGCACTGCTGCAGCCAGAACAAAGGGCCTTCTGTGGTCTGAGAGCTGGCGCTGGGAACGGCAGGCGCAAAGGCTACCCCCCCGCCCCCCGGAGCCAGGAGGCCTGAGGCGGTGCTGGGTGGCTGGACACCTGGCCCCTGCCCGCCTGGCTGCGAAGGGCCCTCAGGGGGCCTTCCAGGAAATGAGTGTCCCAGGGCCGAGCTCTCTGGGCCACACAGGCGTCACCCTCCACACAGCCCTGGCCTTAGGGCCACGTTCTCCTTCAAGCCTCTCCTCCTAGGGAATACCCTCACCCCTTAGGTGGCCACCCTCCAGGAGTGGACCCTTTGAGCAGATTCTCCATTTCCCGGAACCCCAGGCCAGGAACTCAGGGCCTGAGGCAGCTGTAGAGGGGCCTGGGCCACTGGATCCATCCTCCCTTCCCTGCCCTCAAGGCATGGCCCTGGTGGGCCTCTAAGGAGCCAGTTCCCCTCCTTGCCCCCCACCACCCCTGCCCCCTGCCACACACCTCACTGGCCCCTCTCCCATCACTGGGGCTGGGAGCCACCTACCCCATGCCCAGAAGGTACCTACCTGGGCACAGTGCCCCAGGATCTATAAGGAGGTCCTGAAGGCTACATAGGCCAGTAGGAGAGCTAAGACCCGAGTGGAGACCAAGGAGGGGGCAGCACTGTCATGTAGGTCCCCCAGAGCCTAGACTTTTTTTTTTTTTAAGGCTTTATTTTTAAGTAATTGCTACACCTGATGTGGGGCTCAAACTCACAACCCCAAGATCAAGAGTTGCATGCTCTACTCACTAAGCCAGCAAGGCGCCCCTACCAGAGTCTCGTCTCGATGCCATAGCACCCCCTCTGCTTGGGAACTCTGAATCCTGCCCTGAATACCCCATCCCCCTCTGGATCCTGATGGTCTCAGGTCTACTTAGAACCCAGAGCACCAGGGGTCTTAGCACTCGGGGTTATGCGTGGGGACAGGAAGCTGGGTTCAGGCCTCAGGCCCCAGTGTCCTGGAGGCAACCCACCATTGCCCCAGGCAGCCCTAGGCCAGAGTTCAGATCCTAGGGACCCACACTTGGCACCCTTGGACTCCCTCAACCTGCCTCTCCTTTTTCTGATGCTGGCATCTGAACCCATCTCACCTCCAGCCCTGCCCCTCAGGACTATGACAATGTGACTATCTCCCCTCGTGCTCTCCTCCCCTGGATGAGAGCCCCTGATGTCAGCCTGTCTTCATGCCCCTGCCCTAAGCCTCACCATCAGCACCTCTCCAAGGGTCCCAGTTGGGTGTGGAGATGCCAGCATCTTATCTCCAGAGTCACTCCCTGGTGCCCCCTGGCTCTCCGCTAGGGTTGCCCTTTTCGGACCTCCCACCCTAGGCAGGCTGGGACAGGCCCTCAGAGTGTGCTGAGTTGGCAGCTTGGACAAAGCACCCTTCTCTGCCTTAATATCCTTCCCTAGCAGCCAGGCACTACCTCCAGGGAGACCACAGCCCATGGCATGGTCATGGCCAAAGGGCCTGAGTTCCTGGCTCCAGGTTCCCCATCCCCCCAGCAGGACTTAGGCCTAGACCTTCACGTCCTGTCTATTACTCACAGTCAGGTACTGCTGGGTTTTGGCCTGGCTTGAGATCCCAGAGAGGACATGGAATATCCTTCCTTAAGTGGCTTCCAGTCTGGAAGGGACAAAATCCCCAAACATATACCCATACACAGCAGCTGAATGTGAGCCACACAGTGCTGGGACTCAAAAAAGGGGAGACAGAGGCATCAAGGAAGGCTTCCTAGAGGAAGAGGTGATGGAGCCAGTTCTGAAATCTCAGGAGGAGTCCCAAAAGTGTGGAATGGGAAAGAGTCCCTGAAGCAGAGGGCACAGCGTGGGCAAAGGCTCTAAGGTGTGGTATGGGGCAGATTGAAGAAGGTTCCACGGCTACAGACAAACCCAACGAAACCTTGAAGGCCAGGTCAACAGGTCTGTACTTCAGCGTAGGGCAGGACTAAGGGCTGAGAAGCCAGGGTGGAGATGAGTGGCCCCCAGCCATTCCCTGAGGCTGGCAGCCCATTTCTGACATCTGCCGTCCCTCAGGCCTATCGCCTAGCAGGCTCCTTTGTATCAGGGAGTCAGGGTAGACTCAGGGATAGCCTCTGCCTAACACAAGCTGCCAGCCGATTCTGACCCACTGTCGGGAAAGCCCAGAGTGGACATTCTGAGTCTGAGTCCTGGCCTGGCCCTGCCTCACTGTGTGACCACGGGCAGAGCATTCCCGACTCAGGATCTCAGTATCCTCCTGCCCTCCAGGGGTCCCATGAGGTTTGGCAAAGCTGGGGACAGAGTGAGAAGCCTCCCCAAGGCCTTTGTCCCAGACCATGCCATGGGCTCCCAGAGAGGGGTCAGGCTCCAGGTTGGAAAAATCACTGCAACCTTGGGCAGATCATCAGAATGGCATCTGTCATGGGGGCAGTGTGGACTTGGGCAGGAAATCGATGGCCTAGGCCACTGCCCTGGGGCCTGTTGGCTCTGCTGGGAGATAAGGGCCAGGAGAGGCCAGGAACCACAAGGATGGCGCGGCAGGTAACGCTCGCCCACGCGGCCATCACAGAGTGAGAATTGGTCAGGCACACCTCGACAGGTGTTAAGTTTGGCTAATGAAAGATTTTGAGGCCCAGGAATCCAGGCCGCTGCTTGCATCAGCTGCTGTGGGACACATACTCTCTGTCCCACAACCGAGGTCCTTGGAGTCACCAGGGACTTGAGCACTGCTTTCTTCCCCCAATGCTCAGGGACATCAGTAGGTCTGCAGTAGTGGGCTAGCGAGCTACAGGGAGGCATCCACACTGTCCTTGCCTCAGTCCTGCAGCCACATAAGCTTAGTGGGGGCCCAGACCCCCTAGAACTTGCCCCCAGGTTTCTGGTGCTTGGGCAATCCTAACCTCAGCCCAGATGTCAGGAGACAGGCAGGTGGCCCGGCCTGCAGGCCCATTGCGGTCATTCCCGGAGGCTCAGGGATGAGGGCTGCCCCCAGTTCCAGCTCAGCCATCCTTATTCCCCTCCTCGGCAGAGACAAGGGGCCCCTCCTATCCCGGCACCCCTCTGCCCATCTGCTTCTCCAGGCTTCAGAGGGAGAACACCATCCTAGGACAAGCTATCAGTCAACAAGGAAACTGGATTGAATGGACCTGTCTGAATTATATGTTCTCAAGGCACAGCCCCAGGGATTGGTGGGGAGATGATTGCTGAAGTCAGGGGACTAGAGGTAGGGCATGCGGGAGGGTGTTCTGAACATGGGAGAGTGCTATAGCCTTATACCCCCCTAGCCCCTCTTCCAGGCCCACGACTCCAGATTTTGACCTCAGTAGACCCAGGCCCCCACCCACTACTCCTTCATTGTCCACAATAGTGGGTAAGTAGCCAGTGCCTGGTCAATACCGGGCTGGTACTGAGGCGGGTGGTGTGCAAGAGGGGGCACATCCAGAGAAAGGAAGATGGCCCAGAGCATTGATGTGTCAGCAACGCCAATCCCTCCTAGTTTAGCTCCCTGGCCCTGGTGTCTGGGGACTGTGCTTCTGTGTTCTGGGCATCCGGAAGTGTCTAGGAGGATCTGAGGGGCCCAGCTGGGGCCGGAAGTTGGACCTTCCTGTGACAGGGTATATTTTCTAGACCCCCAACAGATGCGTAGAGTTGGGCCTAACCTGAGACACCTAGGCCTCCCCTCCCACCCAGCCCAGGACCCTCCTTGCTCCCCCAAGGGAAGCTGTAGCTGGAACCTCTTGGCTCAAGACTGGGCCAGAGCCAGAAACAGCCCCCTCCCCCCACTGCCAGCCTGCTGAGAGGGACGTGCAGCCCGAGGCCCAGCTGAGGCAAAGGACAGGACATCACGTGCTTGTGGCCCCCTAGGGGCAGGGGAGACCCCGAGCCAGCCAGCCCATCCTCCTCCCTCCTGACCCGGAATCCCCTGGAGGCGGCCAAATATTTGGACAGCCGGACTTCTGGCCCCAAGGAAAGCTGGAGCAGGGGCCTGGGGCAGCTCAGGACTCATTGGAGACCCTGGTGTGGGCGGCTAGAGGCAAGGTCGGCCTGGAGGAAAGGCACCATCCAATGTCAGGCAGAAGTAGAGAGGCAGAGGGAGGGAAGAGAGAGACAGGGAAAGAGGAAGGACAGAAAGCACATACGTGTGGTACATGTGTCCACTCATACTGATCCAGACAGACAGACAGAGAGGCACAGGGAGAAAGGGAAATGCAGATGGATATAGAGGTACACAAACAGAAAAATGCACACACAGAGAGAGGTGGACAGACATTCAGACAGGGAGACAGAGAGAGAGAGAGACAACCAGGGAGGTGAGATGGCCAACCAGCCAGAGATAGCCAAGTGGAGAGAGACAGAGAAACAGGGAGACAGCCAGTGAAAGACAGAGAGAACCCCAGAAGGAATGAGAAGGGGAGAGAGAGCCAGAGGCCCAGGTGAGTGGGCAGCAGGCCCAGCGAGCACCACAGGGATGGCCAGGCGGAACCCTGCAAGACCCTGCAAGAAGGCTGCCACAGCATTTGCAGGTTCCTACAAGGGCAGGTTAGACCCCTACTAGCTGGGTGCAGGGACATCCAGACGGTGGGACTGAGCAGGTGCATGGTCAGCCCCAGCTGGAAAGACCGCTCCCCAGTCCAGCGCTTGTCTACCCGCACAATGGAAAAGATACACAGAAGTGATGGTCAATTGAAGTGACCCCCATTCTCAGCAGCCACGCACGTGTGCAGACGTGCCGGCCGAGAGGCTGTGTACAGGACGTGGCCCGCAGAGCGGAAATTCAAAACCAAGCCACCCCAGGCCGCTGACCGGAAAGCCCCTCCTGCCCCAGCAGCTGGTCCTTCCCTTTGGCCCCCAGAAGCCCCGCCTGGTCCTCTAGAGTGCCCCCCCCACATCTGTCTTCCTATCTAGAGTCAAAGGCCAGTCGTCCACCCACCAGACTGAAGGTGCGCAGGGCACACGGTAGGTGCTCAGTATGCGTTGCTAAGTGACTAGAATGGGTTCAAGGCCCTTGGCGAGCCCCCAGCCCATCTCAGCCCAGCTCTAAGTGGCCCCTGGCCCCTGGCCACGTCTGCACTAGACCGTGTGCCTGCAGAGCTCCTATCTTACCACAGCATAGGCTGCACATCCCACCGCAGCTTTCCGCGCACACAGATACCAAAACCATACCTCCCTTGCAGTCAACCACTCCCCTAAAACATGCTTTCCCCTCTGAATGAGTGCCTGTTTCCACACCCAGCCTGGACTTTCAGGCTGCACTCAGTTCAGCTCAAAAACCTTCCCTGGCCCTACCCAGAGACCTCGAACCACCCAGGCTGTCTTGTTGTGCCTCCGTTTCTCGATTTGCCCAAGGCTCCAAGGCCACTTGCTAGGGCAGCAGGCAGCAGGACAGGAGCAATCTGTTATGGTCTGGCCACCAGGAGCCCTGGACTGGGGGGGGAGTGTGTGTGGAGGGGGGCGTAGTGATGTGGGCCAAAAGAACCAGACTGAAGAAAGAATGGTTTGAGAAGCCAGTGAAGACATGGGCTCGAGCCCAGGCAGAGTGGAGTTTTGAGACATACACCCACACCCTCCCCAGAGAACTGGCCCCCTGTCTCCAACCCCCCAGGGGGTCAGAGATTCTCATTTCTGATTCCAGTCACTCCAGCCCTCTTGGAGATGTGCCAGGCCTGGCCTCACCCACCCCTGATTCCTCCCACCTCTGGTGCTTCCTGCAGGAAGACTTCCAAGGTTGTATAGAACCTACCCCTCTCAAAATGGAACTGTCCCCAGATCTCTCCGGCTTTCTATGCTCCAGACTGAGAAGCTCTGGGGCATTTTCTTCCTCTCTAGAAGGCACTGAGCTCCCATGCCACACTGCGTACTGAAGAGGAAGGGGTGGAAGGTCCAAAGGCTTCTCCCAGGGACAGAACAGTGGCCCAAGGCCGTCATGGAAGGAAAGACAGGACCGGCGGGCTGAAGGAAGGGTGGGCCTGGGTCAAGGTGTCCCCAGGGTGCAAGGTACAAGGACCTTTGACTTAGTCCTCTCGGACTTGTCCTAGAGCCTGTACCTGAGCTCAGGGCTCAGGTCACTGTGGGGGAGAGGGCGGACTCCCACGGGCCCCGCCCCTGGCCTCCCCCTCCCCGGGTGTAAACAAACGCACGCATTCGCTGTGGCCAATCGAAGGGGCCAATGGAGCGGGGGCGGGCTCCTGCAAACCCAGTCCTGGTCCTTTCCCTCTGCCCTACGCTCGGCGCCCGCTCTCACACCCTCACCGCGCAATGAGGCGGCAAGGAGCGCGCACAGAGCCCCGCCCTCGGGCCAGAGAGCCACATGCGCCCTGTACCCACCGTGCCCGCTGGCCCGGCTGCAAATGGCACGGGTTCCGGGACCAACATGTGCCCCGCGGCCCCTCAGGCAGCCTGGCCCGATCTGCCCTCAAGCCCCTGCCCAACGCGGCCGGGATAAATATACCCGGACACCCGGCGTGCCAGCCGGGCAGATTTGCCTGTCAGGCGCCCGTCGGGGCAGCGCTCCAGGGCCCGTTCCCGGCCTCTCTTGGGCCCCCCTCCGGGACGCTCTCCAGCTAGTCCCCGCGGGTTCTGCCTCGGGAAGCCCCTCGCGCACCGCCCCGAGCCCCGACAAGGCTTCCTGCGGCCCCAGTCCCGAGTGCTGACCTCCCGCTGTCCCGCCCGGCCCTGCCGACAGGCCCCGAGGCGACGAGGTGCCTCTCCCGGGATACCAGCTCCATCTCGGAGCTGAGTCCTGCCTGGCGGGTCGCCGGACCTGGGCCCAGATCGCGCGGGGTTCTGGCTCGCTGGAGGCTGGGGGGAGGCCCCTGCCCGGGGCAGGGCGGGCGAGGGGAGCTGCCCGGAGCCCGGCTACGGACGGGAGGGTGCACAGTAGGGCTCTGCCCGCCCGGGGCCCTGGGCCGGGGTCGGCGCCCCCAGCGGTACCTGGCCCGGCGGGTGGGGGACGCACGGAGCTCCGCTCTGGCTGGCGCTGTCCGCTCTGCTCCCGGCTAAGCGCCGCGGCGGGGGATGAAGGGCGCCCGGCCCCGCCCCTGGCCCGCCCCCGGCCCGCCAATCCCAGGCGGCGGGCGGGAGGAGGGGCTGGTCTGGGGAGGGGGGGGGCCCTCCCCCGGCCCGCCTGCTGCAAAGGGGCAGCCCAAGCGCTAAAGAGCCCCTAGGTGGGGGAGCAGCTGCTCCAGGAGGGGCTCAGTTGAGTCCTGGGGGAGGAACGCTTCAGTCCAGAGCAGATTCTCTCCGAGTGCCCTCTTAGCCCCTGAAATGCTCTGCGCTCACCTCCCTGAAGCCAGAAGAGAACGGAGCAATGCTTAGCTTCGGTGAAGTGTGCTCTCAGTGGGGAACTTTCAGATACCAGTCAGACACAAAATGTCTTTTCTGCCTGCTTCACCCTTCCCAAGCAGAGGTGGGATAGCGGTGAGGACGGGGGGGGGGGGGGGGGGGGGAGAGGTGGGGGGGAAGCGGGGAGGCTACCTGCATCAATTCTTCTCTCTTCACCCCAGGTATTCAGAAGAGATTGAGGCTGGGACAGACAGGGGTAGGGCCAGTGAGACAAGAGGGGAGCATGGCTGGGCTTGTGCTGAGCCTCGCTGGGCTCTCCCTGGCCATGCCCCCCATTTCCTTATTTCTAAGGAGTAAGAGACAGCTGTGCCTGCCCATGGGAAGTGGGGATGGGGACTTAGTGCCCTGGGGGGGGGAGGGGTTTTAGGCTGTCCTGTTCTTGACTGGGGGGCTCCTATCCCACCCCTGCCTGCCTCCCACCCAAGGCCTTGGTGCTCAGAGGTGGGTGGTCGGTGTTAAGGCCCCCCAGGCCTAGCCAGCACGGAGCTGGGAGAGGCCTTGACCTTGGGGGTGAGCTGGGGGGTTCCCAGAACAGCTGTGTCCCTTGCTTCTCAGCCACTGGCTCTGATCCGATTAATTCCATGGCCTCTGCTGTTCCTAGCCAAGCTGGATGTCTCTGTGTCATGTCTGCCCCCCTCCTGGAACCGGGGGAATGCCCTCAGAGGACAGGTCTAACCTCTCCCCTGCCCTGGGCTGGGAGTCAGGACTCCTGGATTCTCTTCCTATTGACTCACCAGAGCCAAGCCCTAGCCTATCTCAGTTTCCCCTTGTGTCACAGGGAAATGGCTCTGTCCTCTCTCCTGGCCTGAGGGGAATGGATGAAGGGGAAGATGTGAGCTGAGGGAGGAGACTTAGCTTTGGCTGGGAGTGCCAGGGAGCTGGGAGGACTAAAGAGAAAGGCACTGGGATGGTGGCAATCCCTCAAACCACCCAAGCTCCTGCCCTGCTAATGGCTGAAAAATAGGAAGGGACTGGCTTTCCCTCCTGATCTGGGGCTAGCGTAATCCCCAGATCAGAGCTTACCTTGGTCATGAGGGACCCTAAGTCTCTCCCCCTCCAAAGGGGCTTGAAGACTGCCCACTGGGTAGTTCAGTAGGAGAGGTACTGACCAGGGTCCACCCCCCCCCCCCACCTCCCAGCTATATATATCCTGGATGCTCACTGAAGCCATTTGCAAAGCACTGAGGGCTCCCACTGGCAGTTCCTAAGGGGCCAGGCCTGGCATCAAGGACACCCAGCATGTGGGTATTGGGGTCCTCAATCCTGACTGGAGGGAGCTGGGCTGGGCTGCTGTGGGTGGCCTGAGGCAGCATGATGTGGGGTCCCTGGGCCAGACCAGTTGTGGCCAGGAGGGGGAGGGGCTGCCTGTTTGTTGATGGTAGGTCTGGGCCCAGCCAGGGCAAACACAGCCCGGAGGCCTTTCCCTGCCACCTGCCGAATCTCCCAGCCCAGCCTGTGGTGGCAGGATAGGGGGCAGTTGGGATGGGACTCAGAGCTGCCGGGCGCCTTTTCCCGGGGACCGGAGGGAATGTCCATCCGTGTAACACAGTGGTGGGGGCAGCCACTTGGTGTGGAGGGGAGGGGGCTTTATCTCAGCCCTCAGCCCAGCCCCCACCACTACTCCCCCATCTCCAGAAACTGAGACACAGGCCCAAGAGGCTGCCAGACACGTGAAACAGAACTTAGGGTCCCGGCATCGCTCAGACTCTCCTTCCGGGGTCCTGGTAGCCCTTTGCTCTCCTCCTCCCTCTTCAATCATGTCCTCTCAGCCTCCAGCTATGTGGCCCCCTCTCACCATGTCACCACCTCCCCTGGCATGTCATCCACACGGTGCCCCAACACCCTTCTCCGACAGTGAGACCCCATCTTCACCTCCAGCCCAGTCCGTCCCCAGAGCCCAGCATCTGCACCCACTGACACCTCAGATACTCTGCGGGGCCCTGCCTCACCCTCAGCCAGCCTCCTTGACATCCTCTCAACCTGCTCCTTGTCTCAGTTGGCCTCCCCCCATCCTAACTGGCTGGCCACACATGTTCCCGTTGTTCTCAGAACACACCAGCCCCTTCCCCTCCCTGGCCTTCTCCCCCCACCTCCTCAGCAGGCTCCTACTTGTCCCTCAACACCCCCATAGAAGATGACCTCTGAATACCCTGGCCAGCTCTTCCGGTGCTTCATGTGGCCACTCTTGCCATCCCACCACACAGCCTCAGTGTCTCCAGGTGCTCCCTCCGGGTTGTCTAGACGGGAAAGCAACCTGTGGGCTTGGCTCTGCTGAGGGGAAGAAAGGCGCGTGCCAGGTTGGGGAAGAGAAAGGGCATTTGGATAGAGGAGACAGGAAAGCGTATGAGTGTGGGATTAGCACCCGTAGGGGGAAGGCTGTCTGTGTGTGTGTGTCGGGGGGCAGGACACTTGGCCTGGAGTCATGTGGGGGGTTTTAAGGCCTCATAGGAGAGGAGGGTTCTCACCTCCACGCCCCAGCGTTGAGGACCCACACCCATAGCTCCTGACTGTGCTCTGCCCAGTTTGGTGCCTGGGAGGCTCCTCTTCAGGGACAAGCAGGGCTTTAGATGGTATAATACAGGGTGTGAAACCCTGTGAGGGACCCATAGGCAGACAGTCCTGTCTAGGCCTCCCCCTGCCTGGGTCCTCAGAGCTGATGACCTCTTGGCTGAGGCCTGCTCCCACAGTTCTGGCATGCCCTCCCTCTCTCCCCTGAGATCTGGCCCCCGGCTTCTCTGGCCACTGAAGCAGCTTAATGAGCCCAGGTCACATGGGCTGTGCTCCTGCCTGTGGGGAGGGCCCAAGCCCCTAGTGGCCACCCGACCGGGCCCTGACGTCAGCAGCATTAACCGTCCACCAGGCTTGTCTAATCTCTGGTCAGTGGCTGGGCCAGGTTAGTCCCGCCAGAGCCAGAGCTGAAGGCCGTGAGGGCCCTCGGGGGCACCTTGAGGTTGCAGGTCAGGCAGGGATGGTGGTGATTGGAGGTGCCCACAGTAAATGACCCCTACCTACAAGACTAGGGTGTGGCCACTGTGCTGACTCTGGGCCGGTTCTGATCCTCTGCCCTCAACTGTGAATCAGGCATTGAGCACCCATTGATCCTGCTCCTTAGGGTGTAATTACACTGGTGCGGTGAGTAGGGCCAAGGAGGCTCTGAGCTGGGAGACTCAGCACCACCCCCCACCCCGCCCCAACCCCATCATATTTGTGGCCATAGGCAGGGCAACTTGGGGCCAGGCCCTGGCCCCAGCCCATGGGATCCAGGAATACCAGTCTGGAATCCCTGACCCTGGGGTCAGAATTGTGTGTGGAGGGGACTCCCTGGAGGGTGGGGTCTGGCCCCTGCCTGGTGTTTGGGCTTCTCTCTGCCCCTGGCCCAGGAAGGCTGGGGAGCTCATTACTTTTCTTCCAAGACAAGGTGACTATGTGGAAGACCCCATTAGCACACCTCTCCTTACAGCTTCCTCCCTTCCAAGCCTACCACTTCCAGCTCCTCAAAGCCTCTTGTCTTCTGCCTTGCCTCTCCCTACTAAATCCTGAGGTTACTCCCCTCAATCCAATAAACTGCTCAATCAGAGGGCCCTTAGTGGAGATGAGCAGCCTGGCTCAGCCAGGCCCAAGACCACCCAGTGAGGATCCTGAACCACTGACCCAAGCCCCATCTTCCCCTCAGGAACTCTGAGTAGCACCAGTGTGGCTGAGTTCCCTTAACCCATCCAGGGTCCCTCTACCACCACCCTGTGCTCAGGCCTGGGGACCATCAATCCCCCGTCTTCAGCTCACTTCAGGCTCACAGCTCTGCCCTCTACTTGGACACTGAAGATGCTGCCCACATGTTGCCTTCTGCCCAGTCCCGGGTATCTGTCTGCCTCCTGGGCATCTCCCCCACGTGGCCACAGGTCTGGCAAGCTTAGTCCAGTCAACACTCCTGTAGTCCCAGCTTGGTGGGGGCATCATATGCACTTGTACAGATCCAGACCCTTGTGGCTGAGCCCCATCTGCAGATCCTGGCCCCATGGGGTAATGGGGACATAAGTCTCTTCTCATGGATTCCCCAGCCCTGCTCTTCTCTTCCCCCATACCCTCTCACACTGGCCCCCAGGAAAAAATGTGTGCCCCTACATACCTGTTTTCATGAAAAATTTTAATGATTATCTTTTTCCAGAAACAGAGTTGTAAAATATTATTGATGATTTTATTTTCATTAAAGCTAGGAAAATAAGATCATAAATTGTTTCACATATAGATAAAATAGCTAAGCTTAAAATAATGTTGAGTTTTAATATACCGACTTCCAAATTTTTTTCAACTAATTTAATATTCTATAAAAAATTTACCATTAAAAATACATAAAAGCATGTATAGGAGTGGACAGTTTCCTTTTGCTTCAAGCTCCAATATGTAGCTCAGCAGAGTTCTCTTGGATCTTGTCTTTATTTAAAATTTTGATATTTTGCTCATCATGGGTTTTTTGCAGTGATTTTCTTTCTTTCTCTTTTTCTTTCTTCCTTCCTTCCTTCCTTCCTTCCTTCCTTCCTTCCTTCCTTTCTTTCCTTTCTTTTTCTGAGTAGGTTCCACACCTAATACGGGGCTTGAACTCACAACCCTGAGATCAAGAGTCACATGTTCTACCGACTGAACCAGCCAGATGCCCCTGCAGTAATTTTGAATTTAAAAAGTTGATATCTTCTTTATCTTGATTACTGAACTTTTTAGCACCACCTTAAATTTTGCACCCCCGGTAAGTGCTTCTTCTGCTTCACCCTGATCCCAGCCCTGCTATTAGGCCCTAGCTTGAAGGGCTTCCGAGACCCATCATCTTCTGGAGGAAGCCCTGGCCCTCAGGCTGGCACTTGGCACCTGCCCATTGTCTCCCCACCCCATGTCCCCTTTGCCTGTTCTTGCCCTATTGAACTATTATGGCCCACAAGCCCGTGTTTCTGGCCCCTCCTCTCCCTGATAGAATAAGCTTCTACCTCAGAACTCCCTCTTGATCCAAGATTATCCCTGTGAACGTTTCCCACGGCTCCTTTCCCCTTAAAGCCCTCTCGAGAGGCACAGGTTGGTCCCATGCCCCCAGGAGTGCTCCTGCCATGACAGGCCAGGTGCTTCTCCCTGGAAGAGCCCATTTTCCCATTTATGTCCAGCCCAGCACTGGGCATTTAATAAATGCCCATGACTCGTGATAATGAACGCCTTTCCCTTCCCCACAAGAAAGGACAGCTGGGGCCTGATGCAAAGGTTTATTGCTGAGTCTGTGCTTCTACCTGAGGGGAGTGCAGCCTGTCATCTGGCCTTGAGAGATGGAAGCCCCTGTCCTCGACTTAGCACAGGTCTTGGGTCACAGGCATCAGCAAGGACTCAGGCCTTGATGAGGAACTGGGAGCAGGGATATAGGGACAAGGGCCTCTGTCCCTGACAAAATTCAGACATGGTCCTCAGTTTTTCCTGCCAGGGAATGGGCTCTGAATGGAAAGGGTTCGAGAAGTTGCTGGCAGGGACAGGAGGGTTACCTGGGTTTGCTTGTGACCCCACCTGAGGTAGACCACTCTGGGCCCAACCTGGGCCTCAGTCATTTCCCAAATCCTCTGCCTGGGGCTGATCGATGGAGCTGGACTCTGCCCCCTCAGCCGCCCCTCAGGACAGTTAGACCATTGGCCACAGTTATTGTCAACAGTACCCTCCCTCAACAGACCATCCCCTTGGCCGGCTGGCCTGGAGCACTGTGGGTGGGTGGGGGTGAGGTAGGACATGGATCTGGTGTCCAAGGATGGAGGGGGCAGAGCCTGTGGGGTAAGGGGACAGGGGGTTACTCTGAGCCTGCTATGTGGGGAAGGGTCCAGCTTGAATCTCTTCCTGACACCCAGGGGCTCCCAGGTGTGCCCCCCACTCACTAATTCATCCATGCAGGAGCCAAACAGGCCAGAGTGGCTTGGACTTTGGACTCCTGAAGCTACTGAGAGGGACAGTCACTGGCCACTGGGTAGACAGGTGTCAGACTTGTCACATGGAGGTGGTAAGGCTGGAATGGGCTGATGGTAAGCCTTGGAGGAGGGATCTCTGCCTGCTCCCCCGCTCTTCATGAAACTGGGAGGGAGGGCTATTTGCTGAGCCCAGACCCACCAGGTGAGTCATGGGCCCCCTGGGGAGAGAGACCTGCAGGAGATTGGTCAGTTGGGCACTGCTGAGTCACTGTGAGCTCTAGCTATCCCAAGTCCTGCCTGTTCCTAGCTGGGGCTGGCTGGGGTGGGTCCTGGAGGCCAGCGCAGCCAAGCCGTGAAGGGCAGCAGTGGGGTTGGGGGCACTGGGCTCTGGGAGACACGTGGGAGGGTCAGGGCCTCAAGGCTAGTGGGGCTCGGAGTTTTGGGTGTGTGGCTGGTGGGGCCACAGGCTGGGGCCCAGGAGTTCTGGGGGGCTGATAGGTTCCTGTGGGCTAGGGCTACAGGGCGGCTAGAGCTACGGAGTGTCAGGGACACGCATGAGTTCAGGCACCTGTGAACAGAAAAAAGGAAGCGAGTCAACATCCCTGAGCTCCAAAATAATTGGCTTTCGGCTGAGAAGCACTGTGGAGGTGGGCTTGTAGACAGTGACACCAGAGGGATCAGGGCGGGGTCAGAAGAGACTAGGTGGGGGGGACCTGTGCACCGGGAGTGCAGGGTGGTGGTGGGCAGTGGGATGGAACCTGAGGGGCCAGGGTGGGGCCTGGGAATTGGGGGCCAGCACCAGGTCATGGAATGGGTCTGGAGAGCTGGGGCAGCCCCTGATATCCTGCAGTGGGGTCTGCTGCAGTGAGGTGGGGTGGAGAGCTGGGGATGGAGAGTGAGGTATGAGACCAAGGGGCAAGACAGGAGAGCATCCCAGCCCTCGAGGAGCCTACCTCAAAAGAGTCCGCAGTCTTTGAGGTTCTCCTTGATGATGATGTCTGTTACGGCGTCGAAGACAAATTTGACGTTCTGCGTGTCCGTAGCACAAGTCATATGGGAATAGATCTCCTTCACGTCACGGCGCATGTTGAGCTCGAGGAACTGCACCTTGATGTAGTTGCCCGCGTCCTCGTATGTGTTGGGCCCTGGCAGGGAAAGGGGGTGCTCTTACTGGGTGTCCCCACTCCTTCCCGCGGCGGGGGAAGCGCAGGCCCAGATCACGGGGTTGGAGCGCCGCCTGGCGGCCAGGCTGCGGGGGGGGCGGTTCTCACCGTCGTAATCCGGGAAGCAGATGCTGAGATGCGCCTTTTTGATCTTCTCGGTGAAAACGTCCTTCTTGTTGAGGAAGAGCACGATGGACGTGGTGGCGAAGTAGCGGTGGTTGCAGATGCTGTTGAACAGGTGCAGGCTCTCGTGCATGCGGTTCTGAGGAGGACAGAAGCTGTCGGGCACCGGGTGGGGGGCACGGGCAGCCGTCCCTGCGCGGTCGCGGCCCACAGGCTCCGGGGCACCCGGGGCCATCGCGCTCGGACAGCTCCAGGTCAGCTTCCCCCACTGCCCCCCTCAGCGTGGCTGCTGGCTGTCTTGTGTCCTCATTCGGACTGTTCCGGAACGAACGTCTGCTCTCAGACGCTCCCCGCTCCCGCAGTACTGTCTCCGGCTTTCCCCTGAAACACTCCAGGCCCTGCTTGGCACCCACCACTTCGTCGTCCTCCACCAGCACCATGTCGTAGGCGCTCAGCGCGGCGATGAAGATGATGCAGGTCACGCCCTCGAAGCAATGGATCCACTTCTTGCGCTCTGAGCGCTGCCCGCCCACATCGAACATCCTGTGGAGCAGTTGGGGCCTGAACCCGCTTGGATCCCCCTGGACGCGCGCACAGGCATCCCCTTGCCTCCTAATGCTGGGGGCACTCAGATGGGACTGGCATGTGGAGGGGCCGGAACTTTCTGCGGGCGGGGTATCAGAGGAGGGGCGGGGTCTCCTTGGGATGGGGCCTCCGGGACGCGACGGGGCCTCGGGGCGCTGCACTCGCAGCCGGACCCCCAGAGCGAGGGCAAGGGCGAGGGCGAGGGCGCGGGGCCGTACCGGAAGTGGAGGTCCTTGAAGGAGAACTGCGTCTCAATGATGCCTGTGGTCTTGACACGCGAGCGCAGCACGTCCTGCTCAGTGGGCACGTAGCCCGGGGTGACCAGGCGCTCCAGGTCCGAGAGGTAGCTGCGGGAGACCGCGGGGGGTGGGTGGGTGCGGTGGAGGGGCGTGGTAGGACCCCGCCCGCACCCCCGCGCCCCGCCTGCGCGCTCACTAGCCCGCGGAGTCGTTGAGCTGGTACTCAGAGGCGCGATCGAAACAGGCCTGGATACCCGAGTCCTTCCACAGCCGCTGGATGATGTCCGACATCTCCTTGGGCATGGTGCCCTCTTCGATGGTGTCCGCCATGTGCATCAGCTTCCGGGCGTCGTCCTGAGGGCAAGGGTGGGAGTTGTTGATGGTGACCGTGGACTTGAGACCGGTCTCGCGCCTCGAGTCCCCGGAGGCCCTGCTCAGCCAGTCTCCCTGCACACCTGGCGGGCAGAGTCTCCATACTGGATGTTGAGCGTGGTCATGGCGCGCACGATGGCGAGGATGGACTGCAGCGTGTTGCCGTAGATGATGCTAATGAACTCGAGGCACTCTTCCAACGAGTACCCATCCTGGTGGATAATCCTGCGGCCGGGTTGAGCCGGGTCAGAGCCAAGTGGACTGGTGGGGAAGGACAGGCCCGGTGCGCGCGCCCACCCTCAGGGACCTCAGAAAAGGCAAGGGCACTCACTTCATCTGCTTGACAATGGTGCTCTTCCCGGACTCACCCGCACCTGGAAGGGAAGCCCCGCCTCAGAGCTGCGCTGGCCGCACCTCCCCACAACTTCCCCACCCACCCTCCACCCCGCAACCGGACGCGGAAGATGGGGACCCGCAGACTCAAGGCAGGTACAAGTCCAACCCCAGTTCCCCTTGTTTCCCCCACCCTCCACCCCAAAGCAAGGTCCTGACACCCTGGAGGAAACACGTCTGTAAATGCCAGCAGTGACATAGGGGGCTGACGAGGGCAATCAACGACCTCAACTGTGTTGGGGAGCCTCCAAGACCCCTTGTATTTGCATTCTTGATTATTCTGAAACCAAAATAAAGGAACCTGGAGCGCCACATTGTGGAGGGTCCTGGTACTGCACGCAGAGGATTATTTGACCGGGTCAAGCCTTGCTTTTCAGGGGTTGTAGGGAGGGGAGTGTCTCCTAGAGGCTCAGAGGGAATTAGCGCCTTTGAATGGGGGAGAAGACAGAGCTCACAGCCCCTCTGAGCCTGCTCTCAGCCAGGGCTTTGGGCATAGTTAATGGGATTTCTGGCTTAGCCTCTGTCTTCCTGGGGTGCTCTGGCTTGGTCCCTCTGCCCACATCCAGATGCCTGATTGGATCCTGGAGAGCCTGGGGTGGAACCTGCCTGCCCTCTCAAAGCAGCTCCTTCTTCCACTTGTGGGGAGGTAGTGGCCCAGAGGCATGTGTCAGCCCCACCTCTCCTCACCACCCATGGGACCATGGACTTGGCTTTATCCGTTCTCCACTGGGCCTTAGCTCTAAAGAGGCACACCTTCTTTAGGTCTGCCAACAACAAAGCTCTGGAATCTAAGGGCTGTTGTCTGTGGATCCGGACGGTCCTTGAAGATGCCCACTCCCCGGAGGACTGTTACTTTCTTCTTCCAAAGAAGCAGCCCTATCGTAGGGCTCCCAAGGAAGCCCCTGGTTTCTGACCCCTGCCCAGTAGGGCTTCTCCAGAGAGGAAGGTGCCCGAGTCAGGGCCCTCCGGAGAGGGGTTTCATGATGGGGTACCCAGCCTTGGGGAGTCAGGGTATCGCCTATCAGGGCCAGGGCTCCCACTCAGTTCCCTGACCTGTCTTAGGGTCATTCTGCTTCCCAAGTCACCCCTGTTTCACAGAAGGGCTACCTGCCTGCCCCCACCCCCGGCCTCCGACCTAGTGGCAGTGGCCCCACCTGGACCCACACCCATACCCAGAAGCAGCAGTTTCACAGTTCGAGCATCCTTCTCAGCATCTTCTTTTAGCTTCTTTTCCAGCTCTCTTGAGTGCTTCTCCTCAGCGCTGGCCCCAGCCCCCATGGTCCCAGCAGCAGGTCAACAGGGTGGTTAGTTGGCTCTTCTAGATGGAGGGGATCCCCAGAGCCGGGCTCGGGCCGGCCTCAGGTCTCCCAACACCCTTCTGACTCCGGGACTGGCAATCAACTGGCTTTCCCCAGACCTGTGCAGGCCCGGGTGATGCTGCTTAGTGGGATTTGGGGGCCAGGGGTTCCCAAGAGCCAATGAGAGACAAGGACAGGTGAATCCAGCTCAGCCCCCAGCCCTCCTAATCAGGCTGGCATGGCCCCAATCCCTCAGCTGCTGACTTTGCACCCCTCTCTATGAGCCCCAACCCTCTAGGAGAGACCGTGCAGACAGTCCAGCCCCTGCGCCGGAGCAGGGGGACATGTTCCGTAGGGTCCAGGCTTAGAAGGGGGAGAGTAGGACCCTGAGCCCCTAGGGTGCAGGCAGGGAGGTGGGGCTGGTAGAAGGGAAGAGAGGGAGAGCCAAGCATGGAGCACCTGCCCATGTCCAGCACTGGACTCAGCACTGCTCTTATTTTGTAAGCTCACATAGGCCCTGGTGGATGGGCATTCACGTCATCAGCCCCATTCTACTGATAAGGAAGGAGAGGCTCAGAGGGTCACACAGAAGGAAGTGGTTGAGAAGGGCTGGGTGACTCTGGACCAGGGTTCTACGCTCTGCAGAGTCAAGAAGGAAGGGAGGACATTGCGTTTGCCCCGCACCGAGGGCTGGATCTGACCTGGGCAGGGCCTCTCCATACCTCCACGGCTCCAACAGACTTGGGGGGCGCCGTGCACGTCTGCTATGTGTGCCTGGGTGTGTGTGTGTCTATCCTTTGCTGGCAACAACCAAAACAATGACATGACACATTTGTTCACGTGTACGCTTGCATGTACGCCCGTGCCTTGGGAGCACATGGGTGCCCACGCACGCCGGGCACATGTGTGCACGTGTGTCGACACGCTTTCGTTCCTTCTTCCTCACGTGCACACGTGCTGATGTAGCATGACACGTAAACTTGGGTATTTGTGTATGGATGCAAAAACACGCGCACACGAGCCGGTGGTTTTCGCCTGGGCGTGTGTGTGCACTTATGCACGTGCGTGCCTGCCTGTGTGCACACTTGCACGTGCCTGTGCCTATGTGCACACGTGTGCCTGAGCACAACAAGGTCTCTGACATGCAGAGATGTCCAGGCTCTTCCAGAGCATATTTTGCAGGACTGTCGTCAGATGGGGAAAATGAGTCCCAAGGCAGGTGCTCCCAGGGGCACGGAGGAGGGACTCACTTCCTGTCCTTCTCCTGATCTGCTCCCTGTGGGTGTCTGAGACCCGCTTAAGGGCACGTAGGGCATGCCTGTCTCAGCTGAGGGGGTCTGGGGTCTGCGTATATGTTCAGACGGGACAAGGAGTACTGCTGGGTGGAAGTCGTTCAATTAAGCCTAAAGTTCCCAGGCTCTGGAGATTTCTCACCTCCTATAGGAAGACCCAAACCCTGGGCTCCCAGGGCTCCCTCCAGAGACCCTGAGCCTTCTGGCTGGACTCCTCCCGGAAACCTGGCTGCCTTGTAGTACTCAACTCTGTTGCAGCCCCAAGAAACCATGAGGGGGTGCCAGGGCCTCAGATCCTGAGTAGTGGAGACTGTCCCCAAGCCTGTGGGAAATGGATACTGGCTCCTACCAGAGGCTGGTGGCTTCACATCTACCCTGCTGGGTGGGGGTGGGGTCTGTCCAGAAACAACAGATGATCTGTGCTACTTTCAGCTTCCAGGGTCCATCCATCCTCTACCCCCCACGTTGTAAGTGGGCCCTGGGGGTGGGGGTGGGGGTGGGGTGGCTCTGCAGCCCCTAGGGATTTGGGGCAGTGCAGGAGCCCAGGTTTGTTACACCAAGGCAAATCTGGTTTCTGCTTATTGGGTTTATTTAGAGTGGGGCCATCCACTGTCTCCCAGTCCCCCTCTGGCTCCCCTTGCCCACCAGATATGGCCATAAGCCCTGTTGGACCCATAGGCCTCCCCAGCTCTTAGCTTCCCCTGCCAGGGCTTGACTCATTAAATTTGGATCAGAGCCCCCAGCCCCACTTTCTCCCGTCCAGCAGCACCCCACCTGCCCTGGCCTTCCCCACCCGTGGACATTCGCTCATGCCAGTCCGTCTGCTGTGATCTGGCTGGAAGGAAGCAGGAAGGTTGGGAATTTTGTCAATTTTCAGGGTGGGGCAGCCAGACTGTGAGGGCTGTAGCTCTGTCTTGCCGATACTGAGTCCTTAGCGCCCGGCACAGAGCCCACCGCAAAGCCAGGTGAGAAACCAACGATCAAACCTGCGAGTGAGTGAATGGAAGCTGAGCTTGCAAGAGAGGCGTGGGAATGGTGGTCAGGCCACATAAAGGGGGGCAGGAAGGACAGAATGTGGGCTTAGGCTGAACCCCCATCCTCCCTCCACTGCTAAGGAGAAAAGCCAAAGTCCAGTCCCAGAGCCAGTGTTTATTAGCAAGATGGAACCCAAGGGCAGCTGTGGCCTGGGCAGCCGAGGGCCACCGGGAGCCCCTACCCACCTACCCCAAAAGCCCCCCAGAGCTATTTACACCCATCCTCTGAAGTGGTGGGCAGAAGGGAGCCCTGGGGAGCCCCTGAAGGCCCCAGGCCTCCGCCACGGCCCCCTCTCCCCTCAGCCCTGCCTGTACCTGCCCCTCTGCTATTCTCCCAGCCCCCAAGTCACAGTGGCCCAGAAAAAGCGAAGAGGAGGTAGAGCGGCCAGGCAGGGAGGGAGGGAGAGGCTGGAAGTGTGCCCCACCCAGGCAGGGCTCCTTTGCTCCTGTCCCCAATAAATAGAGAATAAATACCCGGGAGGGGGCTGGCCTTGACTGAGTGTCCCCTCCCAGGCAGGGGCCGGCCTCCTGTGGCGGCCCCTTCTTCCCTCCTCCGAGTGCATCTGAGCCCCCCACCCCCGCTGCCCGTCTCCAAAGTAGTCCTCGCACCCGCGTCGGCGTGTGCCCGCGGCACGCACTGGCAAAGGGGAGCAGTCCGTGCCCTGTCCGGGGGGAGCTTGCTCCCTCCCTGGGCCCTGCGGATTCCGGCGGCGGCGGTCGAGCAGGTGGACTCCCAGCTGAGCCCAGGGGCTGCGCGGTCCCGGCCTGGCGCCGCCGACTGGCTGGGCCTGGTCAGGCGGGCTGTTTCCGGCCGTCTCCGACCAGCGTGGGTCTGAGTTTCGGACAGTGCTGCTGCGGAGGCAGGCCATATACAGCCCACCAATAAATACTGTCTTTGCAGGGGCGGGGCGTGTATAGAATATAGATATTTTATATATATATATTTATATATATATATATCTTTTATATTAAAAGGGACAAGGCCGAGGCTGGCCCACTGCAGGGCTCAGGCAGCGGGCCTCATGTGTCCGGCGGGTGGTGGCGGCGGTTCCGGGGCTTTTTCTGGTCCTGGGGTTCAGGAGGCCTGGGTGCCCCCGGGGCCTCCCGGGGGCCTGGGGGCACGTGGCGCCAGTAGCCCTGGCAGTACTGGTGGATGAGGCCCACTTCTGGCTGGGCCAGCAGCTGCGCCAGCTCCTGGTAAGCGGGCGTGGGGGGCCCGGCGCCGCCGGGGGCCGGCGGGGCGCTCACAGCTGGCGGTGGGAAGAGGGCCGCGTGGACGGCGTCCCGACCCAGCACGTGCAGCTGTACCCGCGTGACGACGTGCTTGAAGTTGTTCTCGGTGGCAGTGCAGGAGTAGAGGCCTCGGTCACCGGGCTGCAGGGCGCGGAGCAGCAAGCCCTGCTCGGTGCGCAGGAAGCGGTCCTCCGCGCGAATCTGCGGGGGCAGGGAGCTGGGGCTCAGGGCTCGTGTGACCGCCCTGCCGCCCAGCCAGCCCCCGGAGCAGACCAGCTCTGTGGCCGTTCCGTGGAAGGGGCTCCCATGTGCAATTTCCACGGAGCAAGAAAAACCCACAGCAAGTAAATTTCCACATAACACCTGAATCAGGCATCCACGTACTTTTCCATCTCAGGAGGAATGACCGTGGGGGGATGCTGTACAATGGGAGAATTGTGGAGCACAGAATTTCTTTTTAATGGGAATACCCAACCGAAGTATCCTTATAGAATCTCCATGTAAGGACGGATGCCTGGAACACATTTCCATAAAACGAGGGCTCCTCCACAGAATTTCCACACACTGGAGCTCGTCTGCGTGATATTTCCATGTAATGAGATATACCTCCAATGGAGCACATGTATGGAATTTTCATGTAAAGAGGCATGCTTACAAGTGGTTTCCATATAATATGGAAATTCTAGACTTGCTGTATAACTGGATTCACCCAAATGACTTCCACATAAGGAAGGGGAACTTGGAAGGGCTTTCTTAGAATGGGGCTGCCGCAGAGGGCTCCTATACCACATTCCACCCACATGGCACTCCTCCTGCACGGGGGACCCCCGCATCCACGGCGAGGACTGTGGGGTACAGGAAATCACCTCACGGCGCCGGTCACTGGGATCTCGCTGAAACAGCCACTTAACAGTGGCCTGGGGCGAGCGAGGCTGGCACTCGAGGAAGGCCGCGCTCCCTGCCACGCCGTACTGCACGGACTCCACGGCGTTCTTGTTGGCTGGAGAACAAGAGGGCGCAGCATGAAAGCGGCATTGCCTCTGCGCAGACTGCAGGCCGCCAGGGGGCCGGTGCCGAGGGGCACGCACAGGGACAGCCACGCGGGAAAAAGGCAGGGCTATACCATCGGGCATCCGCTCCTTCCTTGAGTGGTTGGCTAGGGACATCCCATCTCCCAAATCCCAAGCCCCCTCACCCCCCGCCCCGGGTCATGTGAGAGTCCTTCCGGCCGGGGGGCCCTGGGAGCAGCTCCATGGGCTGCACAGGGCTCTGCACCACGAGGAGCGCCCAGGGGGGAGGCACGGCACACTCACCGTTGGAGTTGAACCCACGACACTGCCTGATGGGGTTCCCGTGCCGGACATCCTGCCGCCGGCTCCGCCTAGATGACGAGAGCTCCTGATCAAGTATTTTCAAGGAAGCTTGCCCCCCGCCAGGTCCCTGTACCCGCCAAGACTCCAGGGAAGAGTCTCGTCCATTACCCCCAGGGAAATATCACATCGGCCACCAAACCCCCAGGACAGGCCCCTGGGTCTGGTGGCTAACATTCCAGGGGTCTGGGGGGTCCACACCTCTTGGAAGATGCCGTGTATCGGGAGCAGGCCTGGCCATCCCAGGCACAGTAGGGGTCCCGGGCGAGGCAGCAGTCAGCACAGGCAGCCCCGTATGCCTGGCAGCGATGCAGGCTCAGGTGGGTGACGCCCACGGCCGACGCCACGTACAGTTGTTGCTGAGGGCAGGGGAAGGGGCTCGTCAGTTCCCTCCCCACGGGCAGCCCCATCAGGAGCCAACTGGGCTCCTTCCCTTCCTGTTCCATGCCTCAGTTTCCCCATCCCTATGCCAAGGGCAAGACCCCAAGGGGGAACATCCTCCACCCCTACCCCCAGCCCACCTCACTAAAACTCACCCTCTTGGAAGAGATGGTCATGGTCTTAACAGGTGCTGGGTCCTGGAAGAAGACAGGGATTAGCCTGGGGACTGGGGACCCCCTCCCTGTCCTGATCTGGAGGTCTGAGGTAAGCAGCCAGTACTAAGGAGGGCCAGGGTGAGAAGAACAGCACTGCGTGTCATACCCACCTTGAAGACCTCCACCTCCTCCAGCATGAGCTCCTCCATCTCCTGGTCATCCTTGGGCAGCACGATGACCTTCTGCACTGTCCCGCGGTCTGGAACGGGCCGGGCAGGGCCTCAGTGGGGCTGAGGACGCTGGGGAAGGGGTACCAGCCTCAGCCCCTTCCCCCACCAGGCCCCCAACCCCCAAGGGCAGTGGAGCAGGAGCTCTGTACCAAGGTTGAAGAATTTCCCCTGGATGAAGGGGCCCGGGATAAGGGGTGGGGGTGGTCACGGCTGGGGTCTGCCCCTCGCAGCCCAGACCCTCATTTTAGGCACTGCTGAGGATAGGATGCTGGCGGGATTCCTGTGTGGAGGGACTGGAGCTGTGGGGAGCACACCTGCGCATGTGCACACGAGAGCGTGTATGCCAGGATTTGGACCCGCGTGTCCTGCAGGTGTCCACCACCCGTTCCCTCTTTCCTGACCCTACATGGGTCCCCAGGTGCCCAGTGTCCCTGCTCTCCCAGCCCCCCGGGGGGGCTGGGGATGGTGATGGGGTTTCCCCACCCCTTGTCTCAGCTATCCTGGCTCCGAAGGATGAAGGTAGCAGAGTTGACCTTGGCAGCCTGTAGCAAGCCCGTAGCAGGGTAGTCCCCACCCCCCGATCAGCACCCTCCACCCAACGGGCCGAGCATGGGAGGGTCTGGGAGCAGCAGTGGGTACCTGTGCCCAGGAAAAGCACCTCATAGCGCCCGTCGGCTGCATCCACCTGGTCCACGGCGACGGTGGTGAGCCTATAGGGAGCGCCCGTGCGGACGACCAGGGGCCGCCTCTGCAAAGGGTACACGGCCTGGTACATGAGCGGGTGGCTGCGCATGAAGTTAATCACTTCGTCAGGGTAGTCCTTGGTGGACTTCATGGATGGCGTGAAGGTTCCTCCAGGGCACTGCAGGCACGTGATGAGCGTCAGGCCCGGCTGGGGCTTGCTGAACCCCTCAACTTCAGGAGAGGCCTCTCCTTTGTCCATCCCTATCACATGCACCTGCTCTGCTCCTCGGAACCCCCATCCAGGCTTTTCCCCCTCACCCAACCTCTCTGTAGGCCCTGTTTCAGCCGAGGTCCCAAGGTCCTACACGGCCAAATTCCGCAGCCACCTCCCTGGCCTGTGTGCCGTGACCTTGTGGCGGCATTAGGTGGAGCTGACCCCTCCCTTCCCCTGTCCTCATCCCCCATCCTGTTGTCTCCTTCCTCCAGTCTGCCCCCCACACCCACCCACCCCTGCTCGAAGTCTACGGCCCCAAGTTCCCTTAACACCCTGAGGGTGCTCTGCCCTTCCCTGGTGCTTTTCCCTCTGCCTGTCCTGCACCCCCGCCAGCCCGACTCTAGCCCATCCCTCCAGCCTCCACGTTCACCTTCGGGGGAAGACTTCCCTGGCCAAGGCTGAGACCAGCTCCCCCATTCCAGCCCTGACCACATGGAGCCAAAACAGATCACATGTTCTCCTGCTTAGACTCCTGCAGAGACCCACATCACACCAAGATCAAGTGAGTTGCCTCCTACCACCACGGGAGGTCCTGCAGGCCGGACTCTGCCAGCCCTCATCTCCCCGGCCACCATTAGCTAACTACACTGACGCCAACTTGCCCTCCAGCTTTGTCTTGG